GAGCCCGGGCCGCAAAGGCTGGTGCCCGGCTGGGGGAGGGTCGGGGTGGGGGGGTCCCCTTCGGCCGTCCTCCCGGTGCCCTGGGCCAGAGACCTGTGGCAGCCCCAGGGAGCCGTCACCTCGGCCGTGTCACGGTAGGGGAGGAGCTGCCGTCCCCCACCGCAGCCTCCTCTCGGAAGACGGGTCCCTGCCCATGGTCCCTGGTGGCGCGGAGGTGACACCCCTGTCTACCCAACCCGATACATCCATCCTCTCAAACCGCAGGCCCGATTGTCCCCAGGCGCGGGCTCGGTCCGGGTTTGAGGTCACTCCACACCCTTATCCACTGAGAAGTCCATAGAAGGGCTTTGTTTCGTTCTAGTCACCTGTGGACATTATGGGGAAACTGAGGCAGGGAAAGGGAATCCTGACTTTCCAGGTGGTCCTGGGCGGGCCCAAGGGGAGCGAAAGGGCCAGGGCTGCAGTGGACCCCAGGCCCCCGCCACGCTGGCCCTCCACGCCCCGACCCCGGCTGCCCCCTGGTAGTGGGCTCTCCAGAAGATCTGTCACCTCCGGCGCCAGTGCCTTGGTTATACCCAGAGGGGAGCCAGGCACTATGGCCTCTTGAAGCTTATTTGCAGGTTTCTTGAACTGGTGTAGAGTTATAGGGGAGAGCGCTGGCCAGCGAGGGGTGCCAGTCGGGCCGTGCAGAGTGAGGCGAGGGACCCGTCCAAGGTCACAATTGGGGTGCGGGGCCGGGCTCCCCACCAGCAGCCCCGCTCACGCTGCCTCCGGGCGCCCTCAGCCCTGATCCCGTCTGTGGGATGGGGACACCGGCTCAGAGGGCAGAGCAGCCAGCCCAGCTCACCTGCGGGCTGCAGTCACCCCAATGCCAAGACCCGTCCCTGCACCCACCGTGCCACCAGGCCCAGCAGGGAGGGTGCTGGGTCCCTGACCCCCCCAGACTTTCCCGGGGCGCCATGGGAGAACCCGGGGCGGGTCCCCAGAAAGCCACCCTGACTCGCACCACCAGGCAGAGCCACAGACCCGTCCGACGCCCGGGTGGGGGCTTCCACTCGGGGGAATCCCAGGACGCGAAGTCACACACCGAGGGACACGGTGGGAAGTACTCATAAAGCCTCTTCACGCCGTGTCCACCCACCCCGTGTCCACCCACCCCGTGTCCTCCCCAGCTCCAGCCGCGGATGGGGGTCGCCTGTCCCCTCCTCGGACTCCGCCTTCCTCAAGCTCCTTTGTCTGAGTGTGAGCGGGGAGGGGCTGCACCGGCTTCCCGGGCTGCTTCTGAAGACAGATGCGGAGGGGACAGTGGCCCAAGGGCCCGGCGTCCCCGTCCCCCGCTCTTCCTTCTCCCCCACCTTGCACCTTGCAGGCGAGGAGGTCGCGCCCGCCCGAAGGGTCGTGGGGGGTGGGGCGCGGCCGGGGCCGGGGAGCTACTCCCTGTCCCGAGGATGTGTCACGCGGCGGGGCGGTCAGGTGCGGCCCAGGTGTGCGGGCGGGGGGCGGCGGCGCGCGGCCATATTTGGCGATTTCGG